ATTTACATATTATTCAAACCCAGTATTTAAGCATAATTAATGTTAATTGATAGATCTATTGACCAGTATCTAACATTTATTAGTCTAAACGCTCACATGTTCAGTTATATATGAAATTCTTATGAAAATTATCTAGTTTTATGCCTTAGCTGAGGTCTGAACCTGTGCTATCACAGTATAATTTACAATAGGGACTCACACTTTACGGATTAAGTCAGAATCGCTAATTCTAAGAATATCCTGATAAAATCTAGTATCAAGTTAATAATTCTAATTTTGTATAACTTAACGATCTATATAAAAATTTATTGCATAGTAAAGTTTGGGCGTTATGAAGGGTAAAATTTTAGATAGATTTAATTGGTAGAATAGGAAGTCAATTTTATTGCCATGTAGATCTTTTATAAAGATCATTTTGTCCATTTTATTGCCATTGATCAATTATGTAAATTCTTAGATATCAATTTTATTGCTTTTGATAATCACGTAGATTATAGATGTCTATTTAGTTACCTGCAGATCTGACAATTTTATTGATATAGCAACTTTATTGCCTAGTGAAATAGCAACTTTATTTTCTTCATTATATTTAGTTTAATTTATTTTATTATTTATTCAATATGTATAAATATCTCTGTATTTTTTTTGAGTCTCAGCACTGACGAGATGTTAATTTTTTAGGTACTTAACTTATATATTATATTAATAAAGTAGTATAATTAACTAAGTATAAAACTTATCCTTCACAAACCCTTTGAAACTTTTATAAATTATCTGTAATCTTTTGCAATTGTGCAATCCCTTTTGTTAGTAAACTTATTATATGATATTGTATTGATTCGCTGTATTAACTTAGAATCTCTAAAGCGTAATCTTTAAAATATCTTTGAGTTATCTTGTATTTATTTTGTGTTTATCTTACATGTATTATATTAAGAATAATTTTTTAATGTTATTGTGAATTCTTACCTGTGATTTTTTAAGTAATTGTCTTAGTTTTATTTACCTTTTTTGAGATTTTATTTGAAGTTACAAAACTATCATAATAGTGTAAAAAATTTTTTTAAGCGTACTAGCTACCACAAAACTGACACTAGATTCTGATTCTCTTCAATATAGCAATTCTAAGCTAAATTTCATAAAAATTACATCAGCCAATCAGGAAATATTGCACAGTAAAGATCGGTAAATTATTATATAAAAGGGATTTAGCTACTTTTTTTATAATAATTTACTGATCTTTGTTGCGTGGTAATTCTTGATCAGCTAGTTCAATTTTTATAAAATTTAGCTTATAATTACTGCACTAAGGAGAATTAGAATCCAGTGTCAGTTTTGTGGTAGCTAGTATGCTTAAAAAGATATTCTATATCCAAATGTTACTATATAAGAAATTTTGATGTAGATCATTAATTTACACAAAATTAGTATTATTAACTTGATATTAAATTTCGCCAGAATATCCTTCAAGATTTAAACTTTAAAATAAGTATAAAATCATAGTTTTAGCATTTGTAATCAATGAATTATAGCCTTTCAAAGGTAACTAATCACACTTGTGTTTCTTTTGATAGCTACTTTATATTAAATAAATAGAAAATTTAATAAATAAAAGTTTTATAATTTTATTTTTTTAAATTTTAATAATATTTATTTTAATATAAATATTTTAATTATATTTAATTTAATAAAAATAAAAAAATTTTATATTTTACTATTTAAAATATAATTTTATATTAATTTGATAAAAAAAAATTAAATATTTAAATTTAAAATATATAATTTAAAATCAGAATTATATATGATATATAATGATTCTATCTTATTATATAAAATTTTATATAGAAACTAAAGAAACAGAAATCATTATTAAATCTGAAATGATTTTAACTAAAAAAAATTCACATTGATATTTATTTTATTTAGGATTTGTATCATTACAAAAGCTAATTAGTATTAACTTAATTATTAAGTAAGCAAATACTGTGATATTTTTCATTATATATAGTCTTATACTTTATTCTAGACTAATAATATAAATAATATAATATTAACATATTTTAGTAATTTTGTATTACAATTTCATATATTTGATAATAAATTAATTTTTATATATTTTTTAAAAAATTAATAAATATATATAAATTATGTAGAATTATTAAAATATATAATTTAATGATTAATTATAATTAAAATTCTAAATAATTTAAATTAATCTAAAGATTTTTAATTTAGATTAACTGCAATTCAGTTATAGACTATATAAAAATATCAATTTAAAATTTTAGTTAATTTGTTTTAATTAAAAAATAAAATAATTAAAATAATCAACTTATTATACTTATTATTCTAATTAAACAATAAAAGGATTATTAATTAAATAATTAAACTTATTATTTTAATTGAATAATGAAAATATTATTTAATTAAAATAATTAAAAATTATTATTTTAATTAAATCATAATAATATTATTTAATTAGAATAATCAAAATTATTATTTTAATTAAATAATAAAATTATTTAATTGGAATAATTAAAATTATTATTTTAATTAAATAAAAAAGATTAAAATTATTATTCTAATTAAATAATAATTAATTAAATAATTATAAATATTAATATATTTCTAATTAAATGATAAAGATATAATTAAACTAAATTTTTAAATTAATCTAAAGTTTTTAATTTAAATCAGAATTTGAACGATATACAATTCAATTAATTTAAAGTAACATTTTTAGGATTTATAATTTAATTTTCAGTTTAAGAACATCAATTATAATTGTAAAAAAAATGTAATACAAATACAGTTACTAAATAAAATCTAAAGGTTTTGCAAGTTGTCTAAATAGAAAAAGATAAAATTTAGCAAAATTATATTAAATCTTATTAAAAAAATCTAAAAAAGGTAAATTATATAAAACTTATAAAAATGTGAAACTATATTAAAATCTTAGTAAAAAATTAGTAAAACTAATGTTTAAATATTTTGCTAAATTCAAAATCAGTTTAATCAAATAACCTTAATTATATTAAATCATTATACTTTTTTACTATTTTTTTTTAATAAAAATTTTTTATTTTATTTTAATATAATATTTAAAAAAAATTCTTTTTTTTTAAAACTTATATTTAAAATTAACTTATAAATCTTTTATTAAATATAATTGAATTACTTTTTTATTTTTATAAATTTTTACTTTTACATATAAGTATTTTATAATAAGAAAAGAGAATATTCAAAAAAGTATTTTTTAAATTAATATTAAAACTAAACTTAGTTACTAAATATAAAAAAAATATTTTTTAATAATTTGCTTTTTTTTTTATTATAAAGCTCTCATATATTTAATATTTTTTTTTATAAATATTAATTTAATAATTTTATGATAAAATTTAAGCATTTTTGATTAAATTGAAACACATTTTATTTTTAAATAAAGTTGTTTAGTAGATTTAATATTACTTTTTTATAAATTTTAATTAATAATTAATATCAGATTATATAATATAATATTATAAATACAAAATACAAAATTATTATTAATAATTTAATAAACATTTCTTTTCTTTTTATATTTCTTATAAAAATTATTATTAAATATTCTTTATAGTAAATTTTTATGAATTTTACTAATTTAAAATATTATAAATATTGAACTTTTAGTATTTTATTATTGATAATATTTTTCTAAATGATTAAATCAAGAATTTAATATTTTATTATTATTAATTTCAATATAAAATGTTTAACTATTAAATTAAAAAAATTGAATATAAATGAAAAGAAGTTGTAGTTATCTTGAATACTACAGTAACTTTTATAATAATTTATTAATTAGTATTAATCAAAATCAAAATAAAATATTTAATGTAATAAATTAGTCATTAATCAATTTATTAATTAAAAATTAACTTTTTAAATTAGAAATTTAGAATAAATCAATTTTATTTGTGAATTTAAAATAATTTTTTATTATAATTTTAAAGAATTTTTAAATATTAATTGTTTGCCTATATATGAATAAAATTTTAATGCAAAGATATAGAGTAATGTTTGAGCATAATTATCAATTCTTTTATAATCAAATACATAATTGAAAGAAATTAATAAAATTCAGATAATGATAATTTTAAAAAAAAAAAATACAATATGGAACCTTTGCAATAGAAAAGGGGGAGACGGCCGGAAAAAATCAATGATTTTTAGGTCAAAATATGTTCAGATTTAGCAATAACTCATTTATTTTTTCCGACCGTCTCCCCCTTTTCTATTACAAAGGTCCCATATAGTCCCGAAAATAAAAACTAAGGAAAAAAGAATTAGCAAATGTTTGTAATTGGTAAATCTTATATTATAAAAAAAATACCTGCATATCGCTGACCTTTAGATTGACTGTATAAATAACCATTCCGTTTATAGTCAGTCTCCGCAGATCATCTATTTTTACTATTAAAATCACACGACATTTTTAAATCACATGATCTAAAATCTGATTTATTAACAATATACCCCCGTTGTGGAGCAATGGGTTAAACAACTAGTGTAAAAATAAAAATAAAAGAAAGACTTTATAATACCTTATTTCATAAATAGTAATATATCCGGATTGTTAAACTGTACTGTCAAATGTGATTTCAACCAATCATATCTCATGCAGAAAAAATGAGCTGATTAATGTTATCTCCGAAAATTTGTGTAAGTATTTCGGCTGTAACATCATCATGCATGCATCCCGATAATAATTATTATTACAATAAAATCTTATTTATCAATAACACTCCCAAATGTATATATAAAGGCAATAATCATCGAGATAATTTATTAACATCGATTTTTTTTTTTAAAAAAAAAAAATGGATGTTAAATTTTTATATATATTCCTCGTTGGAGTATTAATTTTATTAAATGAACGGATTAATGTAATTGCATTACCTGCTCTACGAGGTGTCATTTAATATTACAGTTTATCTTTTATATTAAACGTTTCACAACGATTTTCAATAGAAAAAAAAAATTTTTTAATTTATAAGCTAAATATGATAGTATAAAAAATTTCTTCAAAGCGCTCATACCTTCTATACTTATTAATAAAGTCCCTTTTATTCTTCCTTAACAGAACGTCAAGAACCTGCTGACAATACTACACTCGGAACATGGAAAATTGTTGGAGAGTTAGTGTTTAAAAAATGTTTGCTTGTACAAAATAAGCTCTTGACATATTTGATTAACTGTCATTAACTGTCCCAATAGTTCCGGTGTCAGTGGCATGCATGCTGTCGTGGTGGCTCCCAAAAAAGTTATCTTCATAGATAGACGTAAACTTTCAAATTCGATATATTTATTTCGTCGCAATTTTAGTTAATTTGATTGTTATCATAAATATTTTCGTTCTTTTCCCTTCTTATTTACTTAGTTGAACAAAATCATTTAAAGAAATCAGACGGGCTTGCAGCTATATCATCAGAATATGATTTAGATACAAATCAAGCTAGACCTCTCTCCGTTTATACAAATACTTTCTGTTCGGCTGGTTCCTTCTTAGCCAATGGAACTTTAATTGAAGCGGGTGGAAGTACCGGGGATGATATTAATTATCGTAGTGGTTTACAAACAATTCGCGTATATGATAAAGACATTGGAGATTGGATTGAATTAGAAGGAATTTTACCATCAAATAGGTGGTACCCTACCATGATCACCTTACCTAATGGTAATTTAATGATTCTCGGAGGTTCAACTAAAGCCGTAGCAGTTAATAGAGCTGATATAAATAATCCAACTTTTACAATATATCCACCTCCAAATGGGGTTATGCAAGATCATGAATTTGAATTTTTAACTGCTACTTTACCAAACAATCTTTATCCGATAGTACATTTAATTCCAAATGATGAGGGAAAAGCTCTTCTTTTTGTATTCGCCAGTAAAGAAAGCATTGCTTTTGACCTTGGTACCGGTCAAACTGTTAAAACTTATCCAAAAATGCCGGGTGGATTTCGATCTTATCCTTTAACTGGTACTTCAATCATGTTACCACTTTCACCGATCGATAATTACAAACCGACAATTATGATTTGTGGTGGTAATAAAGATCGTGAAATTACATCAGTAAGTGAAGCTAGTTGTGGAAGGTTAGCATTAACTACAGAAAATGCGGAATGGGAAATGGATGATTTCGGTGGAACACCACGTGTTATGCCTGATGCTACCTATTTAGTGGATGGAACTATCTTATTCGTTAATGGTGCTGGAACTGGTTTTGCTGGGCTTCGTAAAGGTCAAGGCGCCAATTCTTTATATACCGCTGATAATCCCGTATTATTCCCTACCCATTATGATCCAATTGCTAAAACATATAAAGCTCTTGCTTCGACAAACATACCCAGAGTGTATCATTCCGTTGCTACTTTGTTACCTGATGGTACCGTTCTTGTCGCTGGAAGTAATCCATCTAGCGTTGTCTCATTAGACATTAAATTTCCAACTGAGTGAGTAACCTCGATTTAATATAATTTTTTTTTTTTTTTTTTTACTTTTTTTTTAAAAAAAAGGGAGAAAATTTTAAATTCTAATCTTCCGTTCCTACTTTCTTTAGATATCGTGTTGAAATTTTTACTCCACCTTATCTTTATACATCGACCCCTCGTCCAAATATTATTTCTTTACAAGACATTCCAACTAATCAACAAAGAATTCCAATATTTTATGATGAAGTAATCACTATGGTTGTACACATTAAATCATCTGATCTTCAACCATCTTTAAAAGCAGCTATTATACATCATGGCTTCGTCACTCACTCAACAAATATGAATCAGCGTTATGTTTACCTTAACATTGAAAATTTTTATCCCGATGAATCAATTGCTGATCAATACGTTGTAACTCTTAAATTACCTCCAAATCCTACGATAATCGCTCCCGGTCCTCATTACATATATCTTTTTAACTATAATGCTCCTTGTGTTATTGGTGTGGATGTTCTGCTTAATTAATCTTCGATTAACAACTTCAAAATAAGGGATTTCCCTTTAGATTTATGGTGTTATCGTTACAATAGAGAATTTAGACATTTTTAATTCAGAGAAGAGAGAAAATATCACGAATTATAAAAAAAAAAAAAAAAAAAAATAAAAAAAAAAATAAAAAATTTCTATATTTTCACCTTACGTTCTAGAATAAAAACTATTTTAAAAAAATAATATATTTGTAATCTAAAAATTAAAATTAAAAAGTACAATTTGTAATAATTAATAATATTAAAAATAAATTGTATTTACAGTATATATACTCTTGCGTAATGGTTTTGCATG